CAAAGCATACATGTACTTGTGCCCTGTTTGACTAGATACTAGCAAGTGAATCTACAGGAATGATTTCAGATAAAGAAGTTATCTAGTGGCTGTCTGATAAGTGACTACGCCAGACACTTGTGTTATACATTATGCAGTCATTCTCGTAACATTGGACAGGTTGGCTGGTTGATGAAAGTGAACCAGTTGAAGTACCGGGCTGATGGAGGTACATTCATGCGACCTGCCACTCCAGGGGAATCTCCACCACTGCAGGCTGGGCGGTTACGCAGCTCGTGAGGCTGTGCCTCGCCTTTCTTGACTTGTTAGTCTACTATCTAGCCACAGATAGCTGTGGCGCTGATAGGTATCTGGTCCCCCCTCGGACTAAAGTCTGACTGTTGGTATTAGAAATTCACCACAATCTGAATCGAAATCAAATGTTTCGTTACTCAGATTGGTCGAAATTCTGCTGCCTGGCATCGAATGACATCTCTGATTAGGTGCTTCCTCTGAATAGCATCCAAGTCTGTTCTAACTTTAGGCCTCTGTTACAGCCGAGATATTGTTGATTTACTAGATAGGATATATTCAATGTTCCAGCGCTTCCTGTCCTCACTACTACCTAGGTAGGTATACTCGGACTTCCGGACCAGCTACCTAGCCAGCCAATGAGCTGTCCTTCCAACATCTACAAACCTACCTCTAGCACTTGAGTGATTTGAATGTTCTTTTAGCTTCAAGTCCAACCTCATATCTTACCAGTAGAACACAACATTCAGACCTGGTGTCATTCAGCCGTCTCAACTATCATTCAATGCCAGCTACTTAACGGATGTCTCTGTCAGACCCATTAACAAACGCTGTACAGCTTGAGCACAAGATCATGTTAGCAATCATGTTACCTCATATCAGGCTATCCGCCTCAACGGCTACAAACGGGTTCGATGCTTATTATTCACATCAGCATACAACGATGCTGTCTCAATTTCAGTTGGGGTATTGCAGACGTTGACACTTTCCTGGCGATCAACCCTCAACTGTTGCTAAACTAATATTTTAGCCTCTAGCCAATGTGTAGCAAGCATGGTTTCATCGTCGCGGCTTATCAGAACAACACGAGACAGCACAGACTCGATTTTCCGGCCGATCCACCAATACCATCTTGAATATGAACAGCCAGGCATCAAACAAACCTACACTAATAAATAGACCGGATAAGTAAAACGGACGGACGACTGTGCCCTGATGTCAACATTTGGCCTACCACTTATTCGGGATATGTCGCATCGGCACTATCAATGAGGGGGCTATTACCCACGGTACATCAGGTGGTGTTGAGAAATAGAACTACCTAGGTAGAACTATTTATTAGGGGGTCTTTGTCTTGTATACATTGCAGATGAGTATAGTGAATGATGCCTAGGACGAGATGTCCCCGCCACTAGATCACGGATGGTAAGATGTCTTCATCATCAGACCTTGCCAGACACTTCATCGATGCTCATCCACCATCTAAGGCTGCCAAGATTCCCAGCTTGGGCTCAAGGTTGCGTATAATTGATAATCATCAGCCAAACCGGACAAGAATGGATGGTTGGCGCAATTTCCTAGGAAGTTCCCGGGTCTGTGTCACCATCACCTGCATATCTAGTGATTCGTTATTATTCGACTGGAATCCTATCGTTGCATTTACTGCCACATTGGTACACATTTCTATTGATTCAGCTGCAGGCGGTTCGATTCTGGAATCTCATGCATACCGACCCCAAGCGGCTGACGTTCTCTTAGACTCTAGATGAGGGGTTCAATTGGAATTGCACCAGAGCCCATTCATGGTATTGATTGAACCAATCCGACCTCTAAACTAAAACTTCGGGTTCATTTTGACAACGGAGCTCACTGCCTGGACTCCAGAGACTCATTTCTTGTTATTTGCTCTTCGCCGTTCATGCAGCTACTAGGTAGTGTCGTCAGGGATGTCGCTCACCTCCTAGTATACTCTCTACAGATTCTTCTTACCCTACATACGACATCGAACGGACCTCTTTTGACTGTCGGTAGGGAAGGACGAATGACCTACCCTTTGCTACATGCTACATGATGCAATCTGACTAATGAGGCATGCCTTCTATGAATTAAAAAGGCTTATTTTCACTCGGGCAATCGAAACACAACGGGATCGTGCCTACCAGATGCCAAAGAGCAGTAAGAACATTGAAGTTATAAAATCGCCAGTATCCAGAAAATTCAATTCTGGTTTTGGATCTCGCGATCGGTTCTACCATACTTGCTTGCAAGTGGGAACCCATTCGTCCAATTGCTTTCTAGTCCCAGATCTTCATCTTTCGGGGCTCTACCACATCGAGATTGATCATCAACCATGTCGGGTGTACTGCGAAAAGCTATAGCTATAGCAGTCTCGCTGTTCCTTACAAGCAACCCAATCGACGCCTATCAATTCGATCCTCAGTCAACTGGTCAGTAAGCAGGCTTCCGAGCATAGACGGACAAAGTTGGTATCTAACGGCATCACGCTCTACAGATTCGATCAGGAGCGTAGCAAGACAGTTGGCGGCGGATCTGGTGTCAATGTACAATGGCAACCAGCCGGGACAAACGCCTGGGCTTCTGCCACAGCCGTACTACTGTGAGTAAAATCGAGGACCGCGACAGTGTAACAAAGCTGATCTCTCACGGCAGGGTGGGAAGCCGGTGCTTTGATGGGCGCTCTGATCGATTATTGGTACTACACCGGCGATGCGACGTATAATGACATTACTCAACAGGGAATCCTACACCAAGTCGGGCCATATAATGATTTTATGCCGCCCAATCAGACATTGACCGAGGGTAATGATGATCAGGGATTTTGGGCCATGGCAGCCATGTCGGCGGCCGAGTACAACTTTCAGAACCCTCAACGTGATCAACCACAATGGCTAGCCCTGGCTCAAGCAGTCTTTAACACGCAAGCACAACGGTGGGATACGCAATTTTGCAATGGCGGCTTGCGCTGGCAGATATTTACATGGAATAACGGCTTCAATTATAAGAATTCCATATCGCAAGCATGCTTCTTCAACCTCGCGGCGAGGCTTGCTCTTTATACCGAAAATAGTACGTACGCAGATTGGGCTGTCAAGACTTGGGATTGGATGACCGGGGTCAAATTTATCGATGAGGCTTACAGGATCTATGATGGCGCCCTTGTCGATGATAATTGCTCCAAAATCACGCCATACGAGTTCTCGTATAACACCGGCGCATTTCTCCTTGGGGCAGCCGCCATGGTTGAATACTCAAACAAGGTGGAAAAACTGAACGATGTTGCAATGTGGCATGAACGGGTAGACGGACTTTTGAATAACACGGAGCTGATTTTCTTCTTTGGAAACGATACCAATGACAAGGTCATGATTGAAATTGCCTGCGAACCCGTGAACCTTTGCGACGTGGACCAGCAGTCGTTCAAAGCCTATCTAAGCCGATGGATGGCCGCAACGACGAAGTGGGCCCCCTGGACTTTCGACCGCATAAAAAAGTTGCTGCAAAATTCAGCAATAGCAGCTGTGAAACAATGCACCGGTGGCGACAACGGGCGCATGTGTGGGCTCAAATGGGCCAACAACAGCGGCCAGTGGGACGGGACAACAGGCGTCGGGCAGCAGATGGCTGCTATGGAGGTAGTGCTCGCCAATATGATCCACGAATCCAAGCCTCCCGTCACGAATAATACCGGCGGGACAAGCGCTGGCAACCCGGCGGGCGGCGGGAACGACAACGGACGAGTCGACTCGGTGGGGTGGCACTACGGGGTCATCAACGACGGAGACCGTGCGGGCGCCGCCTTCGTTACCTTCGTCGTCCTTGTGGCGCTGCTCGCGGCAGTCATCTTTATGCTCGCGGACGAGATGAAGACGGCTGGCGAGAACTGGGACTCTTTCCGGTCCACTTTGTCCTTCAAATCCGGCATCGGAGGGAACGCAGGTGCCACCGTGCTAGTCCGGGAGGATGGGAGTGCTACCTCGGAAGGGAAGGGCAAGGGCATCGCGAACGATTGGAGCGAGGGTATGGCTGGTGGCAATAATAGCCCGACTAGAGCCAGAGGAATGTCGACGCGGGAGCTGCCGAGACGACCACCACTTTCGATCTCGTCAACCGCTGCATAGCTATTAATGAGGACTAGTGTCTTAGCTTCCACTTATCGCATTCTCAACGTAATCCATCAGGACCATCAATACGGCATGTCCAAAACCAGTATTACTAGGATTCTTCAACAGGAATATTGGAGACGGGGGGGGGGGGGGGGGGGGGGGGGGGGGGGGGCACCCTGAAGATAATCGATCCGCTACCTACCGCCTGCAATAAGAAGACTTGGGATAGGTTTCGTGGTTTGGGCATCCAGGTTGATGTTGATGGCACAGTTCGGTAAACAAAAGGCACTGGAATGGGGTCAGACGGACATTTATTATGGGGGTGTAGGGGTTAGTATGCCTACTTATTTGATTACATGTTGGCTGTTAGGTTATGAATTTTGTTGAAACACGAGTAGCTTTCGCTCATATGAGATTCAAGACTGGAATCATTCGGCTAGAGTAGCAATAAGAATAGCGCAGGTACACAGGCATGACTGAGTTTTTGTTGTGTAAGGCTGAATACGTATCAGAGAGATGAAAGTTTAACCGTAGTACTTTCCATTTGTACCACATTATAGGTGCTGACAATACGTCATCGCAGCTAAAGATTGTAGTTGTTGTATTTCACGCCCAGGGCTTTATCTAATAAGCCATCAACAGATAGGAACCAGGGAACCTATCATACGGTATGCTAACGTGATGAGTAGGGTCTGACATACACAGACACCTTCTCTTCGATCGATTAGTTTGGGTCCAACATAACCCTCGTCTACTATGTACCTCCCGTTGTAGACCGTCCATCAACACCGCGACACCATCCGTCCCATCCTCATCGCGTCACGATACACCGGGAGCTCACATGGAGTCGACAAAAAGATAATCTGCCTCCACGCGGAATCGAACCGCGGATCTTGTCATAGCATCGCAAGTATGTAGGAACTGTACGAGTGACACGCATTACCCCTGTGCCATAGAGGCTGAGAAGAAAGGGGGTTTTCTTGATCTTTTTCCCTCCCACCTGGCCTCGCCAGGAATTGAACCCGACCCGATTTGAACGGATGACCTTCTGGATGCCTGTTTCTGGACCAAGCTGGAATCAGATGCTCTAGCCGCTGAGCTACGGGTCCGTCCTTGTTGTAAGCCGACTGTGAAAGAACCTGCTTTGAGCGGAGCGAAATACGGTGCGAAATTGAATGTGATGAGTTTTGCTAGCTCACTATGGCCTTAGGGGTTGCCGTGGTGGATAGTGTGAGTCAAATGTTGGTGATTGATGGATTAAAGGGAGCAGGATTGGAAGTGCATTAGAAGTGCATCTAGTTGAGCAGTTACCAGGTAGGCTTCCCGCTTAAGGGGTGATGGGTCTTGGCAAGAAGTTGCGTTGCGGGTCTAGATTGAAGGGAAAGAATAGGAGAAAGACTACCCTGTTTTAAAACGTAGGCCCATCTCCTACATGAGGGTAATGGAAAGGTAGGTCCATTTTCTGGTACTATGAAGAAATTACCTGTATGCCGAATCGAACTAATCAATAATAGAAGTGAATAGGGGGAAAAAAATGGACGGACTACCCGGACGTAAGTGTATTACCACTTGACCATCTAGGGATGAATCACCGCACAGTTTGCCGACTGTGATAGAACCACCGCTCAGTCAGGTATATGTTTGTTGTAGAGTCAAGGGGTTGGCTTATGTTAGCACCATTCAGGCCTAAGTAAACTCTATTGCCATTATAGGTAGATAGAGCCTGCAAGGCGCCAGGGAATCAATACAAGCCATCGGCATTGATTGAGCCGGGCGCTAATCGCGAACACGCCAGTACCTGTCACTTACTTAACGGGCTATCCTTCAGCTCATAGTTAATTTATCGCGTTCTATTCTTTCAAACTGCCAGAATATTGAATTGAAATACAGCATATGTTGCTAAATTATGGCTACTAGCTACCGTGATTACCTATCTTAATTCTTGTGTGTAAGTAGGCTGGGTGGTTGACCTAATGGTGGCTTGGCCTATGGTTTGGATCATGGCTCAGTCTCGTTTAAAATAAAATAAACATACGCACCACTTCAGCATCCTTGGAGCTGAGAAATCGAACAAGACAAGCCAAGCTGTCAAGCCAACTTCTACCGACTGTATAGACCTATGACTAGCATTGGCTGGAATGCAAGACAACTAACACTGACGTGATACCTGAACTTCTATACTTTCAAATTTGAGGAGTGGTATGCTTGTGGCAAATCTGCGGCTCTCTTCTGGACGAATCTTACAAAGTATTTCGATATTTCGAGCGCTTTTCTTCATGAAAGGCACTATGGTTTCCGTGGAAATTGTGCGGCAGGTTTACCGTAAATATGCTGCTATCACCAACCACATGGCGCACTGCTAGGTGTGCACCCACCACAGCCCGGGAGAAGTCATCTTACAGGGGCGTAATGTTCCAAAGGGGGGTGAGGAGGATAACCAAAACAAAAAAAAACAAAAAAACAGTTCGCAAACCCCTCATAGGCTACTACATCTGCTCCCAATCGAAGATTAGGTAAATTCCTCAGGTGGGCCTGAGAAGAAGCGCAGTCACTCTCACATGGGAGGGATTCGAACCCCCGGCCTTACCGGTGAACAGTCGACAAACTGTACAGTGAATCATAAACCACTAGACCACCGAGAGCCGCTCTCTTCTGACGGCTTGGCTACTTATTTTGCCCTACATAGGGCCCCAGAACCAATGCGAATGCGCCTAGGCGAGATTGAGACTCCAAAGGAAGGAGAGTGTGGTCGTGGTTGCCTCGGTCCTGTTCAGTGAGAGGGGGAGTATGGGGGGAAGGTACAAGAGGAAGGGACGCTGGTTTCATTGCCGTTAACTGAGGAAGTGTTGAAGTGATAAATATCTGTCACAGGAAATAAAAGACAGGGCGAATAGGAGATATATCATGGTGTAATTTGGTAGGCGTGTAGCCAGAACCATCAATATCAACACCCTAAACAGGGCAACATATTTCGGGAGAGTACCTGGGTACTAGTAGGTAGAAGACTTATACTGGTACGGGGGCTCTTGATTACGTTGGCGATTCCTGAACCTCCCAAGTTGGGCTTTAGATTACACATGGTTATAAATACGACTGGATTAGCTTTGTATTCGCTTGATATTGTAAGCTTGAAAAAGCCTTATTTTGAGCATTTGGCTTATAATATGCGGTAGTGGGGGAGATGGCTAAATATGGTATTCATTGGGTTCTTCATGAACCTATTAATGGTTGAGAAATTATAGGGAAATTCTATTCTGTTACGAGCGAAGGGAGCACAAGCTTTTAGGATGAAGGGTCTGAAAACGATGATTCCTCAATGGAGCACTGTGAGCCCAATGCCGATGGTAGCTTGCTCATGAGCAGCTCACAATTGGAAGAAACTTCGCCCGCAGCTCAAAGTGATGAATTGGGCTCGATAAATATAGGACAGCCGGTTCAATATGGTGACCCATATTATTGCAGGGGAGTTCCAGCCCTCGTGCATGCGTTGAGCCACCAAGATATGATGTTGTTGGCGGTAGACGTGAACTCAGAGAAGTCATTTTCAGTCACTACGGCGAGCCTACCACAGTCTACATAGAGGATATAAATATCTGTCGACGATAACATGGAGATCGTTGCCAGATTGCTTCATGAGGTGCTAATATCCAGGCACCTTTCTGCAACAGTGTTTCACGCACAATATGTTAGTTTCAGCTTCCAGAAATTATGGTTGGCTAAACTATCAACGCCTCTGCGCTTTAGAAATGGTGGGAGCTAGGTATTTTCGAGAATAGCTAGTGATGAGAAGATTGTGTGCATTGTTGTAGTTGGTAGTTCCATCGCATCCCAAGATTCATCAACTCGACGGCCGCTTCAGCTCACGCGCCCAAATGCGTCCAAGTTACTACCACGAATAGTTCGGATCGATCCTCCAAGTATAGCAGTCGTTCTGCACACACCCCCCTGCTTGCCATTGACGCCGCCGCAGTTGCAGCTGTCGACGCCGACGCCAATGTACCGGCGGCACTCATCGTAGTTCCACGTCCACTGACACCCTTCCTCGATATCGAGACTAATAGTGATCACATTAGTCGACTGGTTGAAAGCGAAATCCCTACTCATGAATGTGTTCTCCAATAGCGCGTCGCCGGCGTCGCCGAGGTTGTTGCAGAAGCTGTTGGCCGCGTTGTCGAGGCGGACGTGGATCTCTGTCACGCCCCTGTCGTAGCAGTTCCTCTCGTCCTTCATCGGGTTGCCCTCGTGCGGCGATGGCATAGGCGACATCGTCTTCGTCGTTGTTGTCCGCGACTGTCGTCGTGGATGTGGAGCTAGTTTGCGGCGGGCAGGGCGTCATGTATTCCCGCCAGTTTTCGTCGTCGCCGTCGTCGCCGTCGCCCGGCAACGAGCCGTCCGCGAACGGGCCACCGATGCCGCCGCCGTAGAGCCAGAGCTGTTGTTCAACGCAGGTAGGGTCCCAATACGAGCACTGGCCAACTGATGGCAGGTCTTGGAAGCCGAAGTTCGGCTGGATGTTGCGCTTCGGCCAGCTCCCTGTCGGCGGAGGAGGCGCGCCGGGGCCGATTGAAGGCGGCGGCGTGGGAAATGGACCTGTTGGGGCCACTGTAGTTGGGTTTCCGTCTAGACCATTGTATACGACAGCAGGCCAGGAAGACGTCTTCGCCGGGACCGGCCAGAAAGCGGGCGGGTTCTGGCGCTTTGCTATCCCGTTGCTGCTGTCGGTCAAGGTTACCACTTCGAAAACCCATTCGGAGATTGTCAAGGGTGCCTTGGTGATGGTGCTTGTCCAGGTGCCGTAACTGATGGTGAGCAGAGGATAATTTACCGTGCTGGTGGCGCCGGTCCATGGCGGGATCTTGACGTTGCATGGAGGCGAACACGTGAACGCCGGCTGGTCCATGTCCCAGATCTTGGGGTCAATCCAGACGACCTCGTCGAACTGCACGCCGGTGCTGCTATGGACGTCGAAAATAGATATCTGAGACCAGGAGGGGTGCTTGTCTACGTTGAGATTGGCGAGGGCCGAGATTCCCTTGCCGTCCATGACGGCCATGTACTTGGCGCCGATGGTCACGAGGTTCTGGAAGCGCACGTTGACGTGGTTCGAGTCGAGATACAGAAGCACTTTCTGGCACGTGTGCCCGTCAATGCAGGACTGGCCGTAGGACGAGAACCAGGAGTAGAGGCCGGCGCTGGCAACGATGATGTTCTGGGACTGTTGCACCATGACGGCCCAGGACTCATCACATCCGTTGAACTCGTTGCCCGCAGCACATAAATAGTTTGGGTCGCCAGCAAATTTCCCAACGACATCCGCAAATGGAGCAGGCGGAGCAGGTGACGGCTGAAAGTAGGCCGACTCAGTCTGCAGTAGACCGGCGAAGATGTTTGCTGCTTTGTGAAAGTTGTATTGATAGAACACGGCGTGCTCAGACGCAGTCCCGTAAAGCCTTTTTGCATTGAGGTGTCAGTAGCGGGTTCATCATGTGAACAGGACGAGACCTACCAGGTTGCCTCTACACTCTCGATCAAGAAGCCACGCGCAACGTAGATTGTATTTTGCTCTAGCATGTTATTGGCATTATTTAGGTTGGGATCGCTAAGAGCAGTCGGTTGTCAGTCCCACAGGCCGGCGGACCCGGGACTATCGGCCTTGATGTTCCATTCAACGAGAATGGCACCGGCAGTTGGCCCCACTGTCGTGAATATCAGGTCTTGCATCTCCACAGCCCCAACATCCCAGGGTCACCGACTTGAAGCATGACCTTCGGGTTGCTGGTTTCGTGTAAGCAAGACGAGGGATGACGGAGAAAGCAGCTATTACGCTCACGAAAGTGTTCGCATATGAGCGAGTTGAAGAAGAAGAAGAAGAAGAAGAAGAGACTGCTTACCTCGCGTCCTGAAAGTATGGTCCAGACGCAGCAATCTGGGACCAAGTCTCTCCGACAATTCTTGATCCGGGAGGAATGGTCACTGTCGAGGTCAAGATGTACGATCCGGCATCTATGAACAAAATCTTTCCCTGGGCCGCATACAGCGCCGCCTGGAAACTAACTGTGTCGTCCGTGCTTCCGTCACCAGTGACTCCGAGACCTTTGATGTGGACGAAGTCGCCGGCACCATACGACTGGTATTGGGGCTTCGGGCGCTCAAAGTACAGCACGTCGGCATCGACGAGGGTGGAATGTCTGCGGTAGTTCCCGATCTTTCCACCTTGAGAGAAGGTACGGGCAGTTGTTGAGCCTTCGTAAACTGGCCCTAGCGCCCACTGGTCGATCATGCCTGAGGATCCGCTGAGAAGAGTCTTGCCATTTGTGTCCTGAATGGCAGCGGCAACACCCGATAGGGAGACCTTCTCTAGAACGACGCCGCTACTGCCAGATCCTGGGGCAGAGTTTGGGGGTGAAATGACGACGGCGGCTGTGCCGACGTTGGAGAAAGACGAGTCGATGATAGACACAGATCCGATGTTGCCCGAGCCCGTGTCGGAGATGGATTTCCAGTCCCAGCCCCAGTCCCAGATGGTCTGGACACCCGTCGCGCAGCCGTCGAAGGTCAGCCGCTGCGCCGTAAATTGTCGTGTGCCTTCGTAGATGCCCGTGGCGCCGCCGCGGAAGACTATGTCCGAGATCTGGCCGCCACTGCCGTTCTCGGCGTAGATACCCGTCTGAGACGAGCCCGTGGCGGCCACTAGCTCAAGATTCTGGACGCTCGTAGCCTGTGCAACCTGGTAATGCAAGCTAGTGACCATCTGGGCGTCTTGTGTCTGGGTAATATCAATGACTAGGTTGCGGATTTGCCGGTAGAAGTTGGCCGTGTTGACGTAGTACTCCTGGTCGTTACCATCAGCCCCTACGCCTCCGCCCGTGTATTCATCAGTAGACAACACGCCCAGACCGACGAATGCCGGCGACGCCAAGAGCTTCGGGCGATTGTTGGCGTCACCAATGACTTGGGTTCCAAACGGCATGGGAATGTTGGAGGATATGAGATAGGTTCCCGGGGGGAAATACACGATGGCGTTCTTTGTCGTTGACCCATTGCACCTGACCCCACATCGCTTGCCGTCTGTCATTGCCATCTTGACAGCCTTGGTGTCGTCCTGAGTATCGCGCATTAGTACGAGCATCAAGCATCGGCTAGGGAATCGCGAGTGAACCGAGACATAAGAAGTATCATCACAAAACCTACTGTAACGCCGTCGCCAACTGCTCCATAGTCCAGCACATTACGGAACACCTTGTAGTCCGGGTCGTCACCCCAAGGCACGGTACCCTTGCGAGCGATATTTCCCATCCAGAATGTACCCGAAGCCGCGACTGCTCGTTGTGTTACATTCCTGGCTTTTCCTACGGCATCCGCCTCGGCCACTAGGGCTGCGCGGGGGGTTAGCCAGACGTGCCTTGTTCAGTTTAGAAGACTCGGTAATAGCATCCTTAACAATCTTCCGGGCCTGCTCGAGAGTCGCCGGGCTGGCTCTCTTCAAGAGAGGTGTAATGCTGGGGTCCGATGTTCTCCTCAAGACCGGTCGGAGGACGGCTTCCGGCCGCCTCCTCGGCTCGTCGACGACCGACTTCACCGGAGGATGATAATCTAAGATGTCGTCTACAGTCTCGAACACATCATCCGCATCCCACAACCT